GGGAAATTACTTGTTCACGTGGAAACATCCGCGCAACTGTACAAGCGTGTTATTATGTTGGTCAGATGATTGGCTCAATGGTGTTCGGAATGTTAGGGGACAGGTATGCTTTTATTATTATGGTAGATCAACCAAATGGTTTTTTTGCGCACCTATTAAACTCAATATACTTTTAAAGCGTTTCGCGGAGAATGTTGGGGCGTGTCAGGGAGGCGGCAGGATTTGGTGCGGCGCCAGCCTGTGTTCCTTCAATTATTAACACGTTCCGTAAGGCGTGACACACATGGTGTGTCACACATTTACCTGTCTGCGCCGTTTTAAATGGTATATTTGGCAAATTGTTTATGCTCCAAAATTATCAGAACATGTTTTTCAGTCCCAGTATACATACATCCCACAGGAAAATACAAGAAACAGATGAAATCAGGGTATAACATCGAGGGGGTCATATTTGGTGGTTGCTGGGAGAGGGGGTCGTAGCTGTGGCTTTTAGAGAAATTTGCCGCGTTGGGAAAAAATCGTTCCCAGTTAATACCTGTGATTTTTTTTCTTTTTCATGTGTACTGTGTACCACCCCCTCCTCCTCCGTCTCGACAGCAAAATTTTTGGGTAAATGTAGGAGAATTTTCAGGAAATTGGAAAAAGTGGTAGGAAGCTGGGCAGAATCTAGAAAATTTTCCCGCTTCACCTCGGCTATGTATCTCCCCCCTCCGCTCGAATGAAAAATACTTGGGTGAAAACTGGAAAATGTCGGAAATTGGTAGGTAGATGTTGGGGAAGGGAGTCGTACCGAGACCCTCTTTTGGGTGGGGGTGGTACGAAGACTCTCCCTTGGGGGGGGGTCGTACTGTCACCACCATTTTACACATCACGATGCTGTACCCTGGATAAAATTACTGATTATCTTTTTGAAAACTGACGAAATAATGCGGAGATCCTCGCACAGCGGTGGTCCGGAATGTATTAAAAAGGGGACAAGGTGGGAAACTTGCTGGCGTCATGCCAAATCCTGTCCCCACGACATGCCTCAGCAGCGAACAAGGAGTTGTGAGAGACTGGCTTGAAAAAGTATTTTAGGATTGGTCGTAAAAGAGTTTTCCTTTTGGCTATTTTCCTGCAAATTACATGTGGCATTGCTGTTGTTGTGGTCCCAACATGGTGGTTGTTTGCCTTTTTCCGGTTCGTTTCAAAGTTTCGTAGAATCGTTCGAGAATAGCTCATTTCTAGAACATTTTCAGTGCTGGGCTTGGTTTCTCACATCCTGGTATTTTTGTTATAGCAGTAGTTATTGGAGCTGAATTAGTTGGTCCTAGGTACAGGAAGTTAGCAGCTGTCATAACTGGAGGATTCTTTGCCATTGGACAGGTTAACCACTTTGACTGATTTCTTTTGAACAGGAGTAGGTTTGTTCGGCGCTGTTCTGCTTGGAGGGGGATTTTTGCACTTCTGCCCGGTTGCATCGTTGTTGGAGAGTCCCCTGTTGGGAGGGTGGCCACCAGGAGAGGTGGGGGTCGTATTTGGGCTGGGAAAAATTTATTTTGATAGTTGATTTTTCTCGCTTCACGGACGTTGTAAAGGGGGGTCGTACTTGGTCATTGTTGGGAGGGGGGGTCGTATTTACGTTTTGGCGTTGTAGGAGCGGTGGTTGACTTTTGGTGATTTTCCTGTTTCATGCGTACTATATGCCCCCCCCCCCCTCCCCAAAGAAAAGGGGGAGGGAGTACAGACTCGACTAGAATCCCCAAACAATGTTGTGCCCTGCTTTTGCCAAGTCCTGCTGTTAGTTAAAGGTAAATAACCGGTCTCGTTTCGGTAGACATGTAAACTCTCGTGAAGCTGCAAAATTGTGAAGGGAGCGTTTTGGTCGGAGTTATTTTCGGGTTTTCACAAGATGGCTCAGCTGCATATCATTCGTTGCCTCCCCCCCCCTCTCCCAAGCCGAACTGCGCCGTTCATTCTTCAGCTTGATAAGTGAACATGTTGCCGTAAGGTAGCCTAAAAGTGATCAGAGTCGTGAGAATTTCAATGATCTTATTGGGTTGTTGAAGGTATTTTTGATTTACGGATTACGGTATTTTGCAATTCGCGATCGTTCGACCGGCTTCTTAATATTCCTCAGCTACTAATTTGTGAGTTTTTTACCGATTACAACATTGAACTGTGAAGAAGTGCGCTAGTGTGAGGTCACCCTGACCTGCTAGTCTTTCCCAGTCAGCTTACTTTGACATGACGTAGCTTTTGGTAAAGAGTCACTGCGGTGTGGCCATCCCGACCGGCGCCTTCGATAATGTGGAGGACAGGCAACATATTCATTGGGCATGAGGCATCCTTGTGGTGCACCATCTTGACAAGTCCTTGAACTTCGTGACCTTGCGTCCGGTTAAATGGTGCTATACTGTCAAGGGCTGCGGAATAACGGCTGTAGGTCAACACATCAGAGTTGCACCGTAGTGGCAGGAGGAGTCGTTAGAAATGGTGTCAGAAACGCCGCATTCACACCAGGACCCAATTGTTCAACCTATTAGTGCTACAGCAAGGTCAAGTTAACTAGCAAGGAAACACTGCGTTTGCGTTCAATGCAGTGACTTGGGCGCCCTGAACTACATTCCTGGATGGCTTAGCACAGGAAGCCTGCATGTGCGAAGATCAGGTGGGTAGGGGAGATCTTTGAGCTACTGATTGACGCGAGAAGACTCCCCTGATTCTTTCACGCTATTTCTTCTGACGCTATTTTTTTACTATTTTTCATGGTGACTGCTGTTTAGCGCCTTACTTTGCGCTACAGAAGTTATCGCAACATTGGTGAATTACGGGACAAAGATTTGACCCCAGGTGGGACTTGAACCCGCACCTCACGCTTCCCGGGCGAGTCCGTTACCAGTCACGTGCCAAGGGCCACCTCCTACCCTCCCAGCTAAATGACTCCTGTGCCACATTCTTACAAAGCTGCATGTTAGGTTTTTTATTACTAACAACCCGATCCCTCTTTTCCAGGTTGGTGCCAGAAAGTGCTCGATGGCTGGTAACTCAGCGACGTTTCCATGAAGCTGACAAAATACTCCGGCGAGCTGCGAAAATGAATGGAGAAACTCTGCCGGAAAAATGGTACAATAAATTTCTCTCCTGAGTTTCACTATTTTCAAGCAAGTAATCGATTGATGAGGAACCTTGGTGTGTTTGCAGGTGGGAGCAACTGGACTCTGAGTCTGAGCGCTCTAAAAAAAGTTTGAAGAAATACACGCTGTGGGATCTTTTTAAGACCCCAATACTGAGGAGACGTGCACTTGTGGCGTTCTACCTATGGTGGGTTGGAATTACTGCAGGAAAACTGCTTTTGTTCCTTGATTCACATGTAGCTAAAATCAGTTTAGGCCGGTAGTCTCAATGGTGTATTACGGTATGGCCCTGAAACCGAATGCTCTCGGGGGTGACATCTACATTAATTTCATATTCGCAGCACTTGTCGAAATACCTGCTTTGGTCATTGTGTACTTGCTGATTGACAGGTGAGAAGACATAGAAGCTAGAGCCCAGAAGCCTGTATTCCAGTAATAATTTTGTATTATCCTTCAGGATTGGTCGCCGTATTGTCCTCAGTGGAGGATACTTCCTTGCCGGATTATGTTTGTTGATGAACTATTTTATGGGCGATAGTGGTCAGTTTCTGAAAAATTGTTCATTTTTAATGACTACTCATGCGGTGGAGGTGTAGAGGCAAGTGGCAGATCACCACGTCCACGGTTCAAGGATCAGATCCCGGATCGGCTGCCGCCCTGGCTAATGTAGCAGAACGACCAGCTGTGCTTGAAGCCTATTACACTCTTTATCCCTGAGTCAGGGTAGGCGTGGCATTTGAACATGGCACGGAACTGGTTACTCGTGGAATATTCCAGTCTGGGACAACTGTCATCTTGTTCTGTGTTGGACAGAGACACGACAACAATTGTGTCAAGATGAAAATATCTCACCAGAAGCATAGACACCTTCAGGTTAAGTTGAAACATGCGGCCACGCCTACCCGATCTCAGGGATTCCGAGTATACACATTTTCTCAGACTTAGTTTCTCTCATGGTGCGTCATTTTTGTGTAGAAATTCATTCTACGCACAATTCTGCATCGTTGGGAGAACCGCATTTGAAGGGGTGTTTCATGAGAAGGAGAAACGTATTTAGCCTGGAGGGAGATTTTCCCCAACTGCAGGGGGAACTTTTCCGGTTGATTTTTCTGGCTTCATGTGCGCTGTATACCCCCGACGGTAGTTCTTCGGGATGAAGTTGTTAAATTTAAGGGAAATTGGTAGGGAGTTGGAAAGATTCATGGGATGGTGAGGTTGTGAGCCTGACATTCCTTGTGCCTTACGCTATTTGATGCGCGCCATGTACACCAAAGCCACGCATACTGCGAGCTAATGGAGGACAGCACAGACATGTAGTGCGTAAGGCAGTCGCTATCACTTTCCACACTCTCCGGGCGCTTTTGGAATCGAATTTCGAATTTTTGAAATTTTCTTAGCAAGAACTACCCACCTACACGTGCCTCGCCCAATTGGGGTGTCTTCCTCATTACGACAACTGACTGCATATTGTTTCCCACATTTTCCACTCTGCGGGCTCCTTTGAAACCGAATGAACGAATGTTTGAAATAAAAGGCTGGTAAAGGGCACGCCACGCCCATTGCGGGCGTGGCTTAGCTCACTTCGTGTGTATTCCGTACATCTTGGCACATTCCCTACCCATCCCACCGTTGGGCAGGGTAAGCTTACCAGTTGTGATCACACTCAGCTGATCGTACAGCGGTCGACTTCTCAGCTAATCGTACAAGGGTCTTCATGTGTGAGCCATCTCCTAGGACTTTGTATGTACGTGACGCGTTTCAGTGTGCACTGACTGCAGTCGCTTACTGCGACTACAGCTTTAGCGATCTCTTGGAAGATTTTCTCATTTTTTCATTTGCTTTAAACCTTTTGAGCAGGCGTTCATTCGCTACTCGCACTGTTAGTCATTCAGTGGGAAGAAAAGGGCTAGACCATGTTTTGGATCAGAAATTGTTGCGCGAATGTCGAAATCACTTCAGCGGTAACGAAAGACATTTACAGCTACGCCGATGATTGCGATTATCCAGATGATGGTGACGAAAGGTGCTATCACTGGCGTGTATGCTTCCATCTACACTTACTCACCAGAACTCTTCCCAACAGTAATGCGAAACACTGCGATGGGCTGTTGTAGTACAATCGCCCGTATTGGAGCGATATCGGCAAGCTACATCAGTCTATGGGTCGTGAGTATTCTTATAGGTGTTATTTTTCACTATCTTCGCGGCCGGTAACAGTATTAAAAGCACGTTCCGCAGTAACCAAGTGGGTGGAGACTCAGAACCACTCTTCCGGCGTGAGGATGATTTCGGTCACCCTATTTCCTCCTAAAAGTCAGGTGTGCCAATAGGGAACACTCAGTATTGTCAGAAGTCGCCACCCATCTGATTATCGCGAAGTATACCTTCAAGATCCTTCTGATTAGATGTTTGAATCACAGCCAAAGATATAAACAGCTTTTTTTTGACTAACGTTTCGGCCTAGTCGCCTTCGTCGGACCCTGGAAAGTCAAAGATAGGTGACCCACCGCCGAATGCCATTTCAGACCAATTGTGTCATGAGACAGCTCAACATGGACCGAAGGGGTCTAGGGAGGTCCCGTAGCTTACAAGCACAAGCCAACTAACCTTAGAAGAGCACCGGCTAGCTTGAGTATCGACGCACCTCATAGGGCTGACTCGCCTAGTGGGCTTGGCTTCAGCTGACCTGGCTCTCTCCCTGGACCACCCAGCAGGCGACCAGGTAGGGCTGCAATCGAGACTTCTGAAAAGGTGCCGTTTTACGTGCTCTCCGTCAGTGATGGGATCAGCTCTGCCGTAAGAACGGTCTTACGCACGTCCAGCTTCGACGCCATGGTCCGGGTGGTCGAGATCCCTCCCACGAACCTCAAGCAGCAATTGGTTCGGAAACGCTGAGGACCGGTAGCTGCTCACCGCTCCCTTATTTCTATTATCGGCTACTCATGGGAAGCAGGGTGACTGCATGGCATCAGGTGTGACCTACCTAATCCGACCTGGGGACGAATACATCGGCGAAACTGGCCGACCATTTTGTTCCAGGGCGAAGAACATCTGGACGGTTTGAAGAAATCGAGGCCTCAGACCGCCCTGGGTGGTCACAGAATGTACGGACACGGAGGGGCGGAGTTCCAAGTCTCTGTGAGGATATTGACGCAGGATCCCACACTTCAGTCCGCAAAACTTTAGAGGAGTTTTGAGTACACGCCAAAAACCTCAAATTGAACAAGAGAGATGATGCCTAGCAATTCCAAGTGAGCTCACCCCTTCGGTGACTGCTGTCAGGCTTCGAATCACCAGCTGCGGTGGAAGGCTGAGCTAGCTGAAGCCACCCAGTGTGAGTCAGTTCAGCGGTGGTCGGAACTTAAGCTAGCCGTGCTCTCCTAAGGTTGGTTCGTTGTGCTTGTGAGCTACCGAGACCTACCTAAACCCTTTAGTCTATGGTGAGCTGCTCTTAAAGACAGCTCCCGCGATGAAAGTGTCAAGGATAATTGCTGATCAATTATGAAACAGTAGCTGATAAGTAATTCCTCAATGAAGGAAAAAAGCAACAAGAGCCCTCAAGAACACCTACCACAACAAATATTAGCTTCCTTACATGACCATTCGGCTGTGCGGTCCTGCAGACCCCTGGCCTCACAATTCCTTTATGCATTTCCCAGTAGTGAGACAACATCAATTCAAAGCAAAGTATATGAAAACAACATAATGCACGAACAAAAACACTTGAAAAAAATTCAGAAACCTGGCGTCCGAAGTTGGTGTTAGTGCGAAGTGCAGCTTTTGGTGCATGTCGAGCTTTTGCACCACAGAAATTGCATCATTCGTGATTTTTACGCGTTTTACCTTACGAGATGGGTTGCAGTTGACTGTAAACGTGTGTAATTCCAAATGACAATAAAATGCGAATGAAGGAGAGAATTATTTATCTGCACAGAGCGCGTCAGCAAGATACATGACAGCCCGATCAATGCCCGCCGTCCCAACAAAGAACAACTGAGCGGCTCTCCGTCAGAGGGCAGCTAGCAAGTGGGGCGGTCCGACTGAGCGGGCGTTAGAACTAGAACTTTGAGCGGCTGTAGCTCGCTCCTCGCTCACTGTGGAGTCCGCGAGAGTGGGATAATCTACTTGGAGCGACTTAACCTGCACAAGGAAAGACGACCATGTACTACTGAGCCACGGGGCTGTTTGAGTGAATGAAATGGCATTACGGCAGTAGGATCACCTTATCATACTGGACTTTGCGAGCTCCGACGAAGGCGACTAGGCCAGAACGTTAGCCAAATAAAGTTGTTAATATCTTGGCTGTGGTGAAAACATCTTATAAGAAGGACCTCACACGATGCTACGTTTCATTGAAAATCGATCATGGATAGCTTTAAGATATTTCGATAAGTGGAAGTATAAATTTACCTAAGGGTCATTAAGGTGGAAGCGTTTGGCAAAGTGTACATGGTTGTGCCGTTCGCAATAATGGCGATATCGGCTGGTATACTGACTCTGAGTTTCTTGCCTGAAACGATGGGTCAACCCTTGCCTGAAACGATTGAAGAAGTCGAAGGTATAGAAACGGAAAGTGAACCACAGGAGTTGCAGCCACTCCAGGCAAAGGAACCGGCCGAAAATGAACAGTCTGAGCCTACAAAGGAAGACTAGGATACGCTTTTACAGTACTCTATCCATACTTAAGTCTCAGTGCTGGTTCTATCAATGTTTCGAATTTATTAAGTTCTGTTGATAGCATAAATTGGAGACTATGTTAGTTTAAAGCTCTGTCTCTGTCGTTGAGATTTTCTTCACTTGCCTCGGCGTAGTGCTGCTATGTAAAAGTACCCACGAAGTTAGCAAAGCAGTTTTTCTTTGCCCTAGCACGTGCCAGGAGTATCCAAACCGTTATATTCTTGCTTATGTTTCTGCGGACCACAGTTGGTAATTCCATCTATTTGATGCTTTCAAAATTCTTTGCGTTCACTTTACGATTGGGCCCGTGACACTTCACAGTTGTTTTATGTCCTGTAAAGGCCCAAAGAGCGCTGCTGGAGGTGGGCTATTGTTGCCAGTTTCATTGGCGGAAGGGCTGCAAGAGGGCGTCTGGCCGCGCTCCTCTCAACCCTTCCACCAATGACGTTAGAACAACCGCCCGCCCCCATCGTGCCCACTGCCCTCAAGTCTCTCATAGGTTGCCAATTGAATGTTGCCACTTAATATTCTTGATTTTCATTCGAGCGTTCCAAGTGAGATTCGTGGTTATGTTTTAGATTCTTGGGTTCGATCTCGTATTGACCAGCGTTGATATTGTTACTAAATATTTTGTTCATGAATGTTGTAAAATAATTGCGAAAAAAGAAGGGATGGAACTTTTTGAGAAGTTAGAAGCGCTATCTGGCCTGAGAGGGGCATTGTGCACTTTCTCTAGTTTCTTTGGCTAGTTACTGTGAAACTACAGGTCTCAACTTAGTGAGTCTTGTACACCCTTACCAAAAATAAACAAAGCTCTATGCTTTACAGGAATTCATCGGCAGAGATCAGTGGGAGCAGTAATATGTCCCCCCCAAGCCGCCCTGCGCCTTAGACCCAGCGAAATGGATATCATAACCAATCAGGGCAAGCCGTTGCGTTGTGGTAAACGTCTGCTAAGTACGACTCCCTTTCCTGTCCATTGCTACTGTCCTGGAGTTGCGAAGTCTTCCTTTTTGCAGACAAAAGCGAAAATCACTGGGAAAACAACGGTCCACGAACAATTAAAACCCTATCCCTTAGTCGCGCCAATTTCTGTTTTTCTCAGAGCTCTCACGTCTGCTTGGCCCGTTGCTCGACCACTGCGACCGCCATATCCAACAGTACGACACATAATTAGGTGCTCATCTACCGGGCGGGGTCCCTTCACTTCGCAAGAAATTGATCTTCTGGACCTGCGACATGTTTTGGTCCCTCTCAATGCCTTCGTACCACAGTTCTTTGTTTCTCTGCGCTCTGGCCCTTCGCAGCAGGACCCCCATCAAAAGTTTTAGTTGTCATGTGACAACGCTTGGTGGATGAATGGACTCAGTTCAAATGATGAGAGTGAGCATTGGTTTCTATCAAGGCTAAAAATGAAGGAACTAGTCATCTGGTAGCAGATAAACGAGAGTAGACATGCCAGCAAAAATTGTTTACCTGCTACCAGATAAGCCCTTAACTTCTGGCAGATTCTTGCCCCATGAAGGCGCCAGGTTTATCTGGTGTAGATAAACAATTTAGTGCTGGTGCCTCTCATAGGGCATGAATATACTGCAGTTGGAAAAGGATCACTGAAAAAACATGGAAGATCTGCAAAAGTAAAAAGACAAAAAAGACGCAGAGGGTAATTAAGCATGAATCGCGTAAAAACATGATGAAAACCGAGTTAGTTCATATAAAAAAAACATGCAATATGTGTTGAGAAAGCAACAAAGGAAAGGAAGATTGCTCCCTACTAGCACGTTAATTTAATTGTTCGCGGTCAATTCACGTAAGATTGGGCGCGCTTTTTGCTTTGGGTATTGGGGCGAGCTACTTCACGGTTCAGTTCTGAGCCAAACACTCCGGAAGTACCCTCCGCTCGACCCCCTTAACTTCTTTGAGAGTGGAGCTTTTGAAGAGGAAAAAACAGGGTTGAAAAGCACTTGGATAGCGCTTATCGAATGCGTTCAAGCAATTCGAAAAAAAACCTTATTTGAGGTTTTGTTTTGAGGTTTTGTCATGATGACTGCTCTTTACTGCCGCTGTACGTGTCCCGAACGTTATCACAAGAATGCTGGGTTGTGGGCAAAAGTCGTGCCCCAGGCGCGAGTCGAACCGCATCTCAAGCTTTCCGGGCGAGTGCGCTATCCGTTACGCCACCAGGGCCTATTTTACCCTCTCAGCTTAACGGCTTATGCCGTAACCTTACAGCACTCACACGTTTAACCTTGGTGAACTTGAATTCCTGTCAAAATTCCCCCCACGCTGTTCCCCACTTTTGAGCTTGGCAGGTTGCTTCTGTCTTCAGATGTCTCTTCAGGTGCTCTGCACATGGAGAACAAAGAATAAATCTCTCATCATTCAAGCTCTACAAAATCTGAATATCGCTACTCCCACTTCATGATTGGGTCCTGCGCTTGCAACACCCCCTCCCCCTCACCTCTCGGTCAAGTGCAACCCTCGCCTGTGATTACCACTACGCTGATTGAGACCAGCACAAGTTTGGGGGGCACAGTGCAGTAGGCCCAGTGCTAGCCACACACAGAGCGTTACATCGACCAGCTTTGCCTAACTCGCTGTTTTTGTAGCCTGAAAGGGTTGAGATTTCATGATTATGAGAGCTTAGCCCTCGAGGTCAAAATATTCATCACATGGTTAAACTTACATTCTTCGTTTATCTGATGGGTAGAGATTACCTTGTAACAAACCGCTGCAATTCAAATTATGTCCTACTCTTCGTGTCGGAAATGACGCAATACTTTGCATTTACGGGGAGCTGAAGCAACGATAGCGTGCGGAAGTTGCCCCGCCCATCGGCGGAGATATGCTGCCTCCTTCTTGTTGTTTCAGCTGATAACAGGCAACAAATAACGTATGAGAGTGCAAGAAACTGTTTAACCAACGAAGCTCAATGAGAGATTAGAAGACAGTTCCATTTAATAAGGACGCGTCGTAGTTTGGGATCCCCTGCGAAGGGGGTCGCATTTGGCCTTTCGAAAGAGCGGTTATTTGCTTGAGTGAATGTTTTCGGTTTCTTCTGCTCAGGTTCTCCTCCTTGAGTCACACCCCATCCTTCCCTCGGCTCGACAGCAATTTTCTGCTTTTCGGGAAAGAGTGGTATGTACAGTCTTGCTGGCTGCAGACGATAGGGCATGTCAGTGAGGCTGGGTTTGACGCGCCGCCAGCGCGTTGTCTACTAGTCGTTGAAGCGTGTAAGCGGCAGCAATCAGTAGAAAACGACACGACATGATACAGTCTTGTCGCTTGCCGAATGATAAAAGCAAAGAAAGGCTGGCGCCGCGCCATACTCGACACTCTCTTTCATCCGTACTGAACAAAACTATAGCAAATCGGGAACATTTAGGAAGGTAGAATGAGGGATGGGGTAGGAAGGGCAGAGGAAACCTTGGAGAGGAGGGGGTAGTACTGGGTGGGATTCCGCAGAACTTCTTCCCAACGGCAGGATGCGTAATGATTCTGATGATGCTTCACTTCGGCATCAACAAACGTTGATGAATAATAATCGGCCGCTTGATATTCACTAAAGAAAATTGAGAAAGCCTGTGTCACAGCTCAAAGGAGGGGAGTCAGTTGCACTTGGTACGGGGTCCTGTCAGAAGTCAGGGGCCAGGATTTACCCATGTGTGGTAGTGTATACAAAGGGCACCCCATCGCTGTGATAATCACAACGGGGATGGTCGTATTTGACCACGATGAAGGGGGTCGTATTGGCGTAAACTTTTTTGATGTAGGTGATCTCTTGTTTCACGGCGCGCTATAAGCTGGGAGGGTGGTATCGTTTGTTCGTTTGTTGAGAGGAATTTGCGGCGTTGGGAAATAATTTTTCCCGGTTGTTGGCTTGCGGTTTTTTCCGTTTCACTGGTATTATATATTCTCTCTAGTTGGCGTCACTGCCAAAGATTTAGGCAAGTACTATTTACGATAGCTAGCTGGAAATAGTAGTTAGTTCATGACGGCCTCCTACACTCCCCCTCCCCCGCTCGATAGCAAAATTTTGGGGAAAAACTAGAAGTTTTGCCGGAAAAGCTGGAAAGAGTGGAAGTGTTAGGAAGTTCGGGGAAATCAGGCGAAGTGTGGGTAGGACTGGGGGAGGGGGAGGGGAGTCGTACAAGGATGCGGTTAGTGGGGGTCATATGTTGCAGAATTTATCACAGCGCGATGGCGTGCACTGAGTGTACACCCGTCAACCTTGTGAGATTGAAATCCCATGAAACGGGTAATGAATAATGAACTCATGAACACAAAATTGGCTGAGGGAGCATATTTGCCAATCAATCAGTCATCAGTCATATCCATTTCTGCTACGACGAGCTATAAACTCTATTTCCGCCTTGGAATTGCAGAATAAGTATGACCTTCTGGATGATGATGGAGAAGTATATCAAGAAGGGTCTTTATTTGATTGTGATGCGCTTTGGCTCCTGGCCAACTTATTCAACTTTCCCTACACTATGAATAGGGAAGTGACGTTCTGATGAACAAAAACGGCTTCCTGAATAATCGCCAAACAAAAAAGCAGCTGAGCATACATAAGGGCGGCCACACAAAACGTGGCGCTTTTCGGCAGCGGTTTCAGATCCGATGGACGTTCACCTTATCGCAGTCTTCATACTCTCGGTATTCTGTACAAATGCTGCTTGCTGAAGACGGTAACCACACTATCACAAAGAGACAGCGTCGAAATACATTTGCGGCACTGACCCCTACCGGTTCTTCTCAGACGTTCGTGAGTACCTTCTTTGCAGTTGTTATGCTAAGGTTTTGAACTGACAAGTTGGTCATGCATGGCCCCTTCTAGGAGCACTTGGCTACAAAATTTGATGCGTCGAACGTGCTTACATTTGACGAAAGTTAGGCCGCTGCTTAGCTTTTGGCTGGCTGGATGCCCACACAGTTTATAGGGGGAAGGATTAGAGCTAATAGAATTGGTACCCCCTCCCTAACAAGCAGCATCGTGGTTGGAGGCGTAAAGCCTTTATAAACCACCACTGCGCAGTACTTTCATTCGTCTTCTAGGGCCAAAAGCGGTTTGAAGCTTCATACCGTTTCCGAAGCATTTGTGCCCAGTCTAAAGCAGAAGAACAAAATAGTGCGAATTTGTCGATGGTCCACGTTAGAATAGTCCCTTAGAAGTGAAACCGACCAAGACATTGGGGAAAAATGTCTATCAAAATGGCATAGAAAGTGACAGCAAACTAACAAAAATAGAGTAGCACTTGGCTGCGGAACACCGAAAATACCGAGAATTTTTCACCATCCAATTTCTCGTGCGTTTATATCTAGGGGCACGCTACATGCCCTTCTTCAGGGGACTTGGTGAGGCCGGCAGGGATCGCGACGCGGCTGCGGCGTGTCACGAGCACGGCGATCAGCTGTTTCCAGCTTAATTCGGCAATTTCCTCACTAATTTATAACGTTTTGGCTGCTCTTCTCATGATGATTAATCCTTATCTTCACAAGGTAAATTATGATTGAGATTCCTCTAATTTTTACGTACAGTTAAACGGTTAAGCCGACAATTGAGCGAACCTGGAGAAAATCGCAAAAACACTTTATTGCGAAAACAAAAAAGAAAACACATCACGTCCTAATGTACTTCATAAGGACAATGAAACAGCGAACTTTGAAAAAATAGAAAATACAGTGAAAATTAGGGAGAAAATGGCCAAATTAGGCTGGAAACAGCTGATCGCCGCGGTCGTGACGCGCCGCAGCCGCGTCGCGACCCTTGCCGCCCTAATCAATTCTCCGGATGACGACTGTACAGGCTTTGAACTTTCCAGGTTCCAAGCGCTGATCAACGCAACTGTGGATCGTTAGATGCTGTAAAAATCTTTTTTTACTATTTTCAGCATGTGAAGCATATTCACTCTGTCCTAACGGTGGTGTCAAACTGTTCATCGGATGTACAACGAACATCCAGTGTCAGATACATAACGCCGACACTGTATGTATAGGTATGAAGTTATTACATGACTCTCTGAGCGTTTTTGCTTGATCCTATTGCGAAACCTTTGTAGCGCAGGCAGCAAGTGCTCATCAAGGTGGGGGGGGGCGTGAGTGGTGCAGGGGAAGGACATTACTCACTAGATGCATGGTCCAAAGGATCAAGTCTCAGACCAAGCCTTCCATCCCAGGATCTGCTAACTGCTACCTGACCTAACTGCTTGCTACAAAAAGACCGACATGTGATTCAACTGGCCCTGCAAATCACTGTACAAGACAAACGATGATGATTTCAATATGCCACCACAGTTCCTTGTGGAAGTGCGTGGCGTATCCCCAAAAGGGGTTGACCAATGTCGGAAGCCTTAGCTCTTTCTTTTTATCAATCAAATCCTTCTAAGATTGCGGCAGATATGTCAGTTTCAAACGATATTAAGCCTTACAGGCCATCCTCGTAGATGCGATACCCCTCTTCTCCATGTGCTTGCTCTTTCAATGTCATATTGCGCTGTAACAGAATCACTTCCATTGTGACCAGGGTCAAGTACCGTTGGGTAATCCTCAACGGGAGAAGGTGAGGGGGTGTCGTATCTGGGTCGCTGGAGAGGAGGGTTGTATTTGGAGAGCTTTGACGAGGTGTTTGCGGAATGATTTCTGAAAGCGCGGAACTGTGGCGCTGGTTCTGAAAACTCTTTTCTTTCAATTGCAGCAGCATTTACCGTAGATAATTTAACTGTAGCTGGACTTCAGTGCGAATTAAGGGTCTCCTCGTCTCTCGGTCTCCAGCAGTTCTCCTATTTTCCTAATTATCCTAAAAAGTTGATGTCAACGGAGTTTACCGGCCCTGAAGGGTGCAACCTGCGTGCACGAAGTAGTTTCTTCCTTATCGGGAAAAGTTCCCATGGGCTGGATTTGCAAGTAATGCACATAAACAAAAGATCCAATTTCTGGGGAAAGGGCTATCGTCTTCTTTTCGCATCGGCTTTTTTTACCATTGGACTTACGTATTCAGTATTTTGGTCCGAGAGATTGGAAACTCGAGTTCTCCAGGAATTTCCATGGTTATTTTGAGGCGAAACCGTGAAACCTCCGTCGTAGTCGCTTTAGTAGCTATCAGTTGAGAGCTCTCATATGATCACCAATCCTGTCTGCAGCTCTGCAAAATGTTGTTTCTGAAGGAAATCACAACCTTTTGAAGAATCTTCATGGTAGAGTGGTGGTAGTGTAAGGTGAGATAGCGCGCTCCAACGCTAAAACGCTACGCGGCTGAAACAAAAGCGCATTCGAAGTTACGTCATTCTAAGTGGCCAGATTTGGCCATGTAGCCCGCGAAGGATGAGGAAAGTAGGTATGGACACCCTTTTTGTGGGAGACTGGAAAGGCAGGGCACGTCATTGGTTGGGGATTTTAGCCGAGCCCGTACGACCCCCCCCCCCCCTTGTTCCCTCCTCTGATCGGGCTGTCGAGGAAGGGATATACAGTGCATATGAAACAGGAAAAAAATACGAGAAGTCAACAACCTATCTCAGATTGGTAGAAGGCAAATGCGACTCCCTCCCCTTTACAACGTCCGTGAAACAAGAAAAATCAACTAACAAAATAAATTTTCTAGCCCAAATATGACCCCCTCCCAGCGACCGACTACGCCTCCCTGTTGGAGAATTCCAACAGCGATGTGTCCTGATGGAAGTCGTATCGTATTTCCCCCAAGGTGATCATGACTCTTTCACATTAACGAGACCTTCGTACAAGGAGAGCCGCATCAATGAGTAGTACAGCAGTTGTGAGCTTCCTTCCATGCTATTACCCTTAAATGCGACTTTAGATTGTCTTGCGTTCCCGAACAATGAAGATACTTTGTACAGAGATATGCTCTAATTCGCTGCGGACGAATGGGCGTGTCAGGCATGAGTGTTCACGTCGTCAAAGCCGTTCACTGCCTTCTTGTTGAAGCGCGCGTGTAACAACCAGACGTAGAAGACGATTAATACGAACGATGAATTTTTGTTATTATCACTTGCTCGCTTTAACAACTGGTGTAGAACAGATCTGGCACCGCGCCAATCTCTTCCCGCCTGGCACGCCCAACCGTCCGCAGCGAACTACACTATATGTAATTCTTTTTAGTGCAATTCCTTATCACGTCATTCTTTCAGATTCGTGCTGCTGTACGTTACCTCGTGTTCTGGAAGCTTCCACATACGCACCTTTATATGATTCTGGGGCTTCTGGCGCATTCACCTTCACGTCAATTCTCTCATTGTTATTTCTTCTATTTCTGTGACTTTGTCTCGATCAAGGATATCTTTGTAAATAAACCTTTCGTAATAAAATTAATGAAATTTGGCATTTAGCTAATCCAGTACGGTCCAACCTAATTATTGTTGTTCGGAAAGAAATGCGCGTTGAATTTGTCCATTATCTCTCCTACTATAGAAAATTTTTCAAACCAGTTTTGACTATTAGACAGAGATTTTTATTGTGCATCTCTTGATATATTTCTCTAGGTCTACTTCGTTTTTTTTTTCAAGGAAAGTTCAATTCCGGTCGATGCAGCACTCCCTGACCGAGAGATCGATGCAGCCCTCCCTGACCGAGAGGAAGGTCACAAACCGCGAAGAAGTCCAACTGTGGGTGTTCAACTACTCTGAGTAGCAGCCGGCCGAGTTCTTCAAAAGAGGAATCCATTCTTTGCATAAACGTTGGCAACAAGTCACTGATAGTAATGGAGATTATCTTTTGAATTAATCTTGTTTAATTCGTTTTTATAATAAAAAAATTTCCAACCTCAAACGCGCATTTCTTTCCGAACAACCTAATAACATACTCATACCATATTTCCAACATGGAGAGGAATCAGTCACTCCAAGACGAAACAAGATTTATTAGCCTCTCTCGACCTTACAATACTCGCTTTTATTAAACTTGATGTATCAGTATAGTACAATGGTCATTTCACGAAAATCATGTAGCACTGCATTGTTAAAGCAAAACTTCATCTATGCTGCATTTGCGATATTCCTTTTGTAATATATTATTCCAACTACGATAGCGGCAATCAGTATGATGAGCAGTGCGATTCCCAAAGCTGAAACAACTCTTTGTTATTCTTGGTTCAACTTGCCATGTAGAATTTCCGCAAGTGGAATTCCCTATCAGACCCGGCTTTCCGAAAATGTAGTAATGTAATGTAATGTAATGTAATGTGTGTAATGATGATTGCCTAAGATCTAGGGGTATCTGACATGAGAAACGCAATCGCCGCGTGGCAGGCATGGCGAGAGACGAGTTCTCTTGCATAGCCATTCGTCTTTCAATATTGAAGGGAAGGGAAAAGTGTATTTAATAACGTTGCCAAAGCTGCTAATGCTCTGTATCATCAACCATGACAACTATAGACGGTGTAGGAAGTGGCCAAAAACCTGTGGAATATAAACGAAAATATGGAAAAAAGTAAAAAAAAAACATGCAACAATCCCATGAGTTTCGCTGCTCCGATAGAAACTAACGCACGGTTTGGCTTCCCCGCACCCATCGCCGTGTGACGCCTACATCGAAGATTTCCCGCACTCACGGCCAGGCGGGCGCCGCGCGCGACAGCACGGCGAAGTGCGATTCTCTTGCCCGTCTCCCCACCTTCAGACTGAGTCGTCATGCCGCGACTTTGACGCCGAAGATTGTGGCGTATGTGGCAAGTGAATAGTGGGCACTGCTAGGTAGCCGCCCTGGTAAGCGTGGATAGCAATGCTGCATTCACTGGGTGCGAGGTGTGTTGTCTGCTTACGTGACATCTTGAACTTTTCGTACATGCTTGTGCGCATATAGATAGAGGATAACGGCCTGCTAAAATTATCGAGACCTGCTAAAAAACTATGAGAAGAGCGTAGGAAAAGAACTTTTTCACGGGGAAGTCCGGGTTGGGTGAACGTCGAGGACGGTATGAACTGGAGCAAATCCCTTGCTCCAGCGACAACTCATGGATGCGGTAATGCAATTCCGAAATTCGCCGCGCGCGAAGACGGCAGATGGTCCCGACTCGCGATAGAACCGCCCATCTTCCAACTTTCTGCCGGAAAGCTAATTTCCAGGCTCGTCACATGTTTCTTGCGCAATCCGATGCTCTATCAGGAGTTTGTTACAAGGCAAAGGTAATTCGCCGCGTTAGTAGGTGTCGCGCGCGACGTCGCGGCGCACATGAAGATGTAAGCCGTTTGCGAAACTCTTTTGTGGCCCTCGCCCTGACGTGAAAGGTACTGAACAGCACCCACTATCAGGCGATTGGGTCGTTGACCGAAATACATAGGAAGCTACTAGCACAAACCTATCCAAGGTGTAGCATTGAAACCACTTCCAGCTTTTCCACCACTCTTTGCTACATCGGGATTCTGCTTGAAATCTGGTTTAGGATAGGTTATCTCGGACTCAGTGGTAGTTAAGAGATTCTCTGTGATTGTCTGTGTCTTGTCTAATTCATGCCTTCGTAGTGGGATTTCTTAGTCGTAGTAGTTTTTTTTTTTTTTTTGTGACTGGGTGGTTGGTGTTTTGGGGGTGCTTAAGTAAGGTTTGGAGCGTTGTCCTTTAGTTGGTTGGCGTTTTTTCCTTGACTAAAAATGTAGCTGTTCCGGCAGTTATGCTTGTGATATGTTGCTTCACATCCGCTTGTACGTCTGATGCTCTCTCAGTCTTGACATAAACGTTGCCTGAATTTTTTTGATTGCCGTCAATCCTTTCAGAGCAAAGTTGGCGTTGTCGGCAACTTCCAAGCTGGGTTCTAGAAAACCCCCACCCCCTCCCATTATTATATTGCCAATTTTCAACCATTCGACCTTACAACTGTCCTGGCAAGGCTTACGTGCACTAGAGGGATTCTTGATTTCCTGAAGGCCTGAAAGGAATGACAGGTCTTTAATAGCAGTGTTGCTCTTCACTACCAGACGTCCATTTATTTTTGTGACTTTCTTGAGTTTTTCAACCCCGTTTGGACGCTCTGAAATGTATTGCTATTTGTAATTGTTGGTCTGATTCGAAGGAACGGTCCGCGATGACTCGTGAAATTGCAAAAGATTGTGTCGAAAGGGTAGTGTTGTCCGCAATTGCGAGCCTGTATCAGGTTCGCGGAGCAAAGTTGTAAGGTAAAAGCAGTCAAGGAGCAGAGTTGCTCCACTGACAGCTCCCTTTTTCTAGTGACCCCGCCTCCAGGCTCCGCCTTCAATTCTGCCTGCCAACCAAAACGATGCTACTGGACAAATAGCATGAAACGGAAGCCCTACTGTCTCTTATGGGGTCATATGGTTCATCACAGGGATTAGCCGACCAGACCTGTCCCCTTTTTTTCGTTTTCACCCGTACAGTCGTTTGAAGCTGGAAAAGCATTATTAAAGGCGTTGCCGACGTTCTCTTTGGCATCTTCCTTCCAAAGACGGATCACTTGACAACTTATTTCAACACCACTACCTACGCTCCTTATCGCGGACCGTGCCTTTGACTCATTGCAGCTCATAAGTTACCCTTGCGCTACCCTGCTCTAGCGAGCTTACAGTTCACAGCTACAGTTGAGAACCAACTTGTTAGTCCTTGGATTACGAGATCGCCAATGATTTCGACACAGTATTCAGTGAATTGCTTGAGGTAGTTCGCATTGACTTTTCCACCTCTGCAT